CAATGTTCCCTTGAACCCACTCAAGCGCAACGTACATATCCTTCAACCCAAGGTTCAAGACACCTTCGTTGGCAGTTAACTCAGTGTTCAGTCCACCGAATACACCAATGCGATATTGCATGCTGACAGCGATGTACGGCTCTTCCGAGAAAGCAAGCATGGTATGAGAATTATGCATCCTTGCAGCACCACGATTGAACGCTCCTCCAGGAATAAGAACAGCGACTGGAAGTTTTCCCTTGCTTGGTGTATGGCCCTTCTTACGCCAGATGTTGATGGCGAGACAATCCTCTGATTCATAGTCTGGACCGAGGATAGGGTCCTTGAGGAAAGGAACGAGTTGTATGCCAGGACATCTTCAAACGTCAGTGTACACTTCAACATGATGTTTTGAGAACTTACCTTGGTCCTAGATAATAAGCTTCAATCGTCTCGTTGCTCGCTCCCACAGGCTCAGCATGTCTGAACCGTCGTTCACCCACCGGAGGCACAGCATACGGAATCCCCATGAATCCCTCCAACGGTTCAGGAAACGTCCCATCATCAACAAACTTCCCAATAATATTTCCCTGCTTGATCCTCACAGAGGGCAATACCTCTGGTCCAGAACGTCCAAAGACATCGGGATACGCTGTAAACGCAGCGGCCAAGAGGACAGGCAATGCAGCCAACCACGTCCACGAACTTCCCTTGCGTTCAGCCATGTTCGATTATGATAACATCTAATCTCGAGCCATGCTACCTACACGATCGTGCTATTTAGATAACAACCATTGACACTTTTCCGTCGGGCCTGACGTCCAAGTTCCCCGGATTAGTTCCCCGAGACTTTCCTATCTGGATGACTTGCAAGGAACCAAGTGGGAACGGTGATGCACTGAGTTTAGAGCTACGGTTGTCAAATTTGAGATCCGTGCTGATCGGCTGCTAAGCTTGGGCTCCGAGACGATAAGTTATCAGAGTGAGGGGGGAAGTTGGCCGCGGGAAAACTTGCACCCTGGTCAAAATGATAGTGGTGGAGTCTGATCTGAAATCCGGGGTAAGCTGCTGCAGGGAGGGAGCTTTGACGAACGGAACAACGGCAGGCTAAGGAACGCTATGTATTCGATGATATCAGAAATATGCTGCTATGAGATGAACTAGGTAGACCGACCCACGTATGCTGTCTATCCAAAACGCCAAGATGATGAGATGCCGATAACATGCTAAATCACAATTCCACGCTGGGACCATCCCCCTCTCCCTTTCCAGGCCCAGATCAACAACCCGACAGCAACCCACACCGTAACAGTCTCAGCCCAATAAGTCGGAGCATAGCACTGTTCACCATAGCAGAATAAATCACCGCGCTCTTCGCCCCCAGGCGCAGACTTTGAGTTGTTCGCACCGTTTTGATATGTCGCTGAGTAGACGAGTCCCCAGAATGTAGAACCTGCTGCTGGAAGCATACCGATGATGCCAAAATTCGTAGCAAAGTTTTCAACACCCCAGATGATTGTGACGATCAAGGGCGTAAGACTGAAGATTGCACCATAGCCTGCGCCCACGAGACCTGAGACGAGCCAGAAGCGCTCAGCGTGGTTTTGCACGAGGCCGGATGCGAGGATCAAGAGACCGATTGAGAGGAGCGTTGCAAAGAAGGCCATGAAGGCAACGCGGGAGATGGAGAAGCGGTTGCTCACTGCCGAACGAGCATGCGGCGCTTGAACATGCTGTGTCTGGGGATACGGTGCCAGAAGATCAGTCAGAGTACCGATGAAGATTCGAGAAGCAGTGTTTGTGACACCAAAGATGGACACATGTGTGGCCGCTGAAGTGCGATGGCTGAGGCCTTCCATCTCGGGTGGGGTCAGTGTACCGATGATTGTGCCCAGGTTGTTGATGAAAGCCTCGCCTGGTCCAACGATCAGAAGGAATGCCAGAGCAAATGGCCACATGGTGCGGTCAGACAGGAACGAACGCGTTTCGGCGTTGAGGACCCAGTTCTTCTTCCACTTGGCATTGTCTTTCGACGGATCAAGTAATGCTGAGCCCTCCGTCTCATCACCCGTCGCACCGTAACTCCTCTCGGACCTGCCGAGTAGAGAGCTCCCATCGAGTAAACCACTCTGCTCCAACTCCTCAATAGCCTCATCGATAAGTTCGTCTTCATCCACGACACGTAGGGTGAATGTGCCCAGCATACCCATGGAGAAGGTCAAGACGGCGAGGAAGAGGAAGAAGCGGAATACATCCAAGTCACCCTTGGACCCGTCTGCCCGCGTCTCAGTGAACAGACGGGTTCCTGCTTGACTCAGCCACATGGGACTCAATCCAAAACAAGTAATCGGCGTAGCGAGCGCCAATCCTCTATAACGACCCTTTCCAAAATTCTTGGCGCAAGATGACACAGAAGCCATGTAAAGCGCACAAGTCGCAATACCGATGCACACAAACGCAAACATCAGAAACGGAACGGACCAGTCTCCATTGACACGATATCCAGGATGACTGCGATACTCCAGATCCAATTTGCGGTAAACACCCGCTGCGATGCCATACCCGCTCCCAAAGAGGATTCCTCCCCCCAGCGCAAGCGGTTTTAGCCCAACACGATCGCAGATATACCCGATGAGCGAAATAGGAAGATACAGCGCCACAGAGCCAGAGATAGCGACGGCGTTGACCTGGAACTGCGTGTAGTGCAGGCGGGACTGGAGAAGAGGCGCGTAGAGGGAGAATACGACGATGGAGCCGCAGGCGAGGGCTATGATGTTTGCTGCGATGAAGGCGATGAGGCGGAGGGCTTGCTTCTCCTTGTTTCGTCGCGCGCGGGAGGATGAGTCGGAGGACGAGGCGTAGGAGCTGTGGGTGGAGATTTGGTCGGCGTCGAGGCGCGTGTCGTCGGGGACGGGAGACGACATAACGATGAGGGTGCAGGATGTTGGAGGAGGGAGAGTTTAGGGAGGTTTCATGGTTGAAATAAATACCTTAGATAAGAATAGAGTTGGTGAATGAATCACGTCAACTAAGACTGGTCCGTCGCGATCCCACTGGACGTCATGGGTCATGCTTCGAATCTTACCCCACAATTCTCTGCCGAGGTCGGACAAAATTCCGTGTCAGTCAGAGGCAGACTGTTATCAATCTTATCAATCTTAGAGACTTGATCACGAACTGATCACACTGCCTGGACCTTTGGCTTATTGAAAAGTAAGGTAAATCATGTATTTCACCAGGTCAGACATGGAGTCAGAAAGCCACACGGAAGATCCCAGCTAATTCACAGCCTGTAATTTAGAACACATGTCTTGGTCGTACAGTTTGTGGTACCGACTACCCTAGACAGTTACAAAAAGCAACTGGGCTGGCTATTACGGGCTAAAGAATAGCTGAGAGATTGAATTCTTGTATGGTTGACATCGCTGACCAAAGTGAGAGAAGCTCGATGTATTGTGTAAGACCGAGCCTTCGGCTTGTGCGCTTTTAAAAGTTGAGCGCTGTGCTCAACAGGGGGAGTCTAACACCAATAATCCAAATGGAGTGGTGCAGCAAGAGTGCGACAAATTTCCCTTGAGACGCTAAACTACAGACTAGGCAGGATTGAAAAACATTACGTATCATGACAATGAACAGAACTTATCTGGACTCGAATTGAGTTAAGCTTGAGCGTGCGAGGTCCCTTGGTGATATGTGACGCACACTTGGGCGACACTCAGCAACAGATGCGTTGACATGTCCGCCCCAATTCTGCCACCATGCTTACTTGCCATCTGCACCGTGAATGATTCTTTCGATGATCCATATTTGACATGAAAGCCTGAAGGTGATCAGCATCGTCAGTGATGGGCCTCATCAAACCAGGCTGGCCTGTCGACACCGTGTTCCAAGAACGTAGGCTTCCGATAGTCACCACCCATTGACAATCTCAATCTCAATCTCGCGCACGGGTTATGATACAATTTATCGCGAGTGAGATGGGTAGTGGAGATTGGTTCTATTGTTTCGTTGCTTGGGGGTGCTTGCTAACAGTCGAGTGGCTAGTGAACGCGTCGGTACGGCGAGGGGATATGAAGCGTTGAAGTGCTTCTGTACTTAGGATCGGGGACTCTTCAAGGTTTGGCCGGAGTCGTCGGCACTGGAGACTTGAACTCCTCGTCGGGCATCTTGAGTCGTGGCAAGATGAATCTCGGGGTGCATGATGTTGTGAAAAGGATCGTGTGTTGTGACTATCCCTCAAGAAGAGCGATGCCATGCTGTGAATGTGGAGAGGAAGCGGTTGCCAATCGATGGGTATTCTGTGCTGAAGAGGAGCTGTCGGGCATGGGATCGCTCATGTTGTTGTGATGAGGGATAAGTCCTGCATGCAACCATTAGATGTTGTACAACATGAACTTGTGAGGCACGTACCTTTGTAATGCCCTCGAGTCCCATCTATGGATACAAAAGCCAAATCATCGGCTTCGTTATCGAGGCCAAGCCGAGTATTCCTTTGTTGACTGGTGGCACTTCATTGGAGGTTCGTGTCACCTCTGTTCGAACAACAATGAAGAAGGGGTAGTGGCTGAGAGGTGTGGCCCAAACTTGGCCGACGGTACGCAATCGTGTCTCGCTTGCTTCCGACACGAGGGAGATCTGGTTCCGTGCTGACGTCGTGACCGTGGATGTCGAGAGCGCTGAAACGGCGGAGCGAAGTGAATCATATTAGAGCGCTGCGGATACTGCACATCAGAGCCGTCGCAATGTTTCAGTACGGGCTGTAACAAACCTGATGACATAAAAAACACAAAGAAGTGTCACTGATGCGGAATGAGAACGCAATAAAATGATAGATGCTGTTGTATGCGGAAGAAGGAAGTGCGGAGGTTGAAGTTGGCAGACCACATCACAAAACTTGTTGGGGTCACGGAAGAGAGCAATGCAGACAGAATTGAGTGAAAATGAACGTTTCTTGTTTAGCTACAGACCGTTTGTCCTCACCGACCACCGGACAACCTCTTCGCACACAGATTCAGTTGCTGTCAACATATATCGATATGGAAATGGCCGTACACGGCACCCGCCCTGTCGAATTGGCGTTTGGAGCACCAGACATACATGCACTCATCCTTGACGACGGCACTGTCGTCTTCCTCCATCTCCTCGTCTTTGACAACTGCGTCGCTGTCACCTTCCTCCATCTCCTCGTCCTTGACGACCGCGTCGCCTCCATGTCCATATGCACTCTTGAAAAAATGCGTGCAAAATGGTTTTGTGGTTTGGTGGCCGTGAGTCGATTTTCTTGTTTTCCCATACAAATGCTCATCCTTGATACCATTGCCGTGTATTATCAGAATACCGACTTTCAAGCTTGACCAGGCAATGCAAATGAGAGCTAATTGTGATAAGGTCGAAGAAAGAGGAAGTTGGGTTGTGGTCTGAGGTTGCTTGTGAGCAAGCGATGTTGACGGCCACTTCCACGTCCCTGTGCTCGCCCTAGCGGTGTTGTTGGCCCTGCCGACCTCACTGCGAAAGGCGTGACTCCACCGTCGCCACCCAGTAACTTGTCGCCAGCTTCGAGCTGTAGCGGTATAATGTCCAAGTTGTGAGCCAGTTGTGTCATTTGCAGTTGAGATTTGTGGCTGAGAGCTTAAATCAGCAGACAGAACTTAGTCCTTGACCTTGATGCTGTCGCGACTCATTATCACAATCATCGACTTTCGAGTTTATCTGGGCCAAATGTCAGATGCTGAATGGGGAGGCAAAGGAACGTGGAGTGAAGCGGCCCGAAGGGAAACAGGACAAAGAGAAGGGCGACATACCTTAGGGAGTAGCAAGTATAGTTGTGATAGCAAATCTGGTTCAGGTTTGGGAAAGGAAGGTTTGCGTTTTTGGGTCGCGATTCGGAATGCGATGCTGACGTCGCCTGCTTTGCCAGTGCAAGAAGATCTTGCAGACTTCCACTGCGTGTCCCTCTGTACAGCTTTGCAGGCTCCGGCCTCGGCAGACCTCACATCCACATTGCTCAGTGCCCTCAACTCGACCGCACGCACGCTCGATCCGGTGCTCAGTTCCTTCGACTCGACCGCACGCTCAATTCGATGCTCGGTGCCCTCGCCATTCCTGATCAGCAGGATGTCACCGCCCCCAACAATGAGGGCGGGAAGATGGCTTACACCTACACGGAACGGCGTGCGGCGTCCATGGCATCCATAGACCGCTCAATGCGGTGTTCGGTGCCCTCGTCGCCCTGATCAAGCGCGCCCGGCAAGGGCCTATTGGGGTTCAAAGTCAGCTCATGAATATGCTACTCAGTATTATCGACGTACCGCTGGTGACCTCACGAGGAGGGAAAGTCACCTCACGAGGAGGGAAGGTCACCTAAATATGAGGGACAAGTGTTGGTGTCACTCAGGAAGCTGGCACAGAGACTGGTGTCTCATAGGCCTCCTCCTCGTCCGACCATAAACACAGGCAACCCCAGTACGCTGTCACGCCAGAGCAGGCAGAATGGCCCTGGGCCTGCATACCCATGGTGAGATGGGGCTGCGTACATCTGCATAGGTTCATTGAACTGCAGATGAGGATGTTGAGGCACATCCATATAGGTGAAGCCGCCAGGAGCAGCTAAGTTCTGTCTGCTGATTTAAGCTCTCAGCCACAAGTCTCAACTGCAAATAATAGAAGGGGAGCCTTGGCTGGAGGCGGCATGGGCATAGGCATATAACCCATAGGAGGCACTAAGGGAAGATATTGGGGCACCATGTGTGTGTATGGCATGGCGGGCTGGTATGCTTGCTGCTGGGCACCAACAACAAGCTGACCCTCAGGGGCTTGTTCAGCGGCAACGACGACCTTCTTCAGGAGCTCGCTCGGTGGCATCACTCTTGCGAGACTTGCCACTCTTGTCTTGGGGCTCATCAGTCTCGCGAGTGAGTGGCCGGCCGCGCATCATCTCCTCCGAGGCGTATGTACGGTTAAGTTTTGACTTGTACAGGAGGTTGCGCTTCAAGTTCTCCTCAGACAGATGGCGGCGTCGGATAAGCTTGGGGATTGGGAGCGCGCCCTGAGAGGGGCCTGTGGAGGTGTCAAGTCAGCTTCCACAAACATGTCTCTCATTGTTTTCGACTTACCGCTTTTCACCATCACCCAGCCGAACGTACTAGCCCTGAAAATGGATGGCGCTCAAGCGTCTCACCAATACCTCGCACCAACGGTCGAACTACCTCGTTACTTGGCACGAAGTTGCCAGTGAGCACTTGCTGTGGCTGGTAAATGGGTTGCCACGACCTGAGCCGTCGGTTCTTCGCCTGATCCGCTGTTCTTGGGCTTCGGTCCCCGCTTGCGACCTGAATTGAAGGGTTGGTTAGTGTACTTGATAGTTGTGACCAGGAGGTCAGCATGGACTTACCAGATGTCGCCTTTTTGGCAGGAGTAGAAGGACAGCCTCCGTCATTAGACTGTGCCTTGAAGGCCTCGATCTTCTTATTGAAGAAAGTCCACTGGTTCATCCGAGTGGCGCGCTAGTAGGTCCTGTTGAAGTTCTAACGTTAGCTCATGCAAACATGCCTCAGCGTTATCACATACCAACTTCGCCCCCTTCACCTCATAAAGAGGGACAGATGTCCGCATCAACATCCTTCAACAAGTTGCACGGAGACATGTCTCACGTAACTAGCGTGCCTTGGAAGGCCTGTAAGGGTGTCAAAGTTAGCTCTTATGAACATGCCTCTCAGTGTTCACGACGTACCGCTGTCACCTCATTAAGAGGGAAGGAAGTTCAGTTCACCCATAAATGGGGACGGCGCCTGCCCTGAGAGAGGGCGGCAAACTGATGCGAAATGGGAAATCTTGCACCGACTGCGGCATCGAATGAAGCCTAGGGTGTTGCCATTTGGCTGTTGTTGATGCTTCACCCCTAGAGCGGGGGACAGAGGATCACCCCTGGTGTGAGGGAGGAGGAGGAGGGAGGTAGAGAGTTGGTGAATTGGTGGCAACGAGTTGAAACGAGAATACGAACGTTGTTGTGTTTCGGAAACGTAAAGGAAAATACAGCAGGTGAAGAGGAGAATGGAAGGGGGCGAGGGGAGGAGCGAGATCCGCCTGAGAGGCGGTCTCTGTCACCCTCATGTGTGGGTCATACTTTGGAGGTGGTACTCAACGTCAAACCGATTTGAATGGGGGCACAAGCTGTGATAGTCTCCGAGGCCTGCCAACAGGGCTGAAGCAGACTTGCTCGGATCCAAAGTAGTCTGGATTTTGAAGAGTTGCGGAATAGTGAAGAGAGCACCGATGCTGAAGAGTCGATGACCGGATCCGCCCGAGAAGCGGTCCTGTCAACCTCCAACGTGAATCACACTCTGAAGCTAACACTCAGAATCACCCCGTTTTGAATGGGGGGCAGGAGAGCACCCAATGCTGAAGAGTCGATGACCGGGTCCGCCTCAGAGGCGGCCAGTATCGCCCTCCAACATGGGTCTCATCCCGCTGCTGACACTCAGCAATATCACCAAAGTCCGAAGACCTGGGATGGCCTCAACTGTCAAATATCAGTGTTAAGTCTCACGAAGATGTTTGAGGGGCACCACTCACGCGTGAAGCCTCTGCTGGGTCCGGTGCGCTCTCGACGTCCCTTGAAAATCCACGGGTGGGAATAATTCTCACGCCAGGTCGTGCTGCATGAGGGGTCAGCGTTGATGTTTTGGTTCCAAAGTGTCATACTGACTTGTGAGTGAGGACCGGCCCAAGCATCGGTGAACCTGAGACCGATATGTTTTCGGAGTGGGATGAAGCGGAATAGCGAAAGGGCCCATGGTCCGAAAGGGACTGGGCGATGAAAAGTCAGCTCAACTCCGGATGTCACCCAAGAGCTGTGAGATATTCTTGGAGAAAACATACCTTTTTGATTGATAGTTAAAGCTTATGACATCTTAACGAGACATATCAAGCCAACACAGTGAAAAGGAGTGGTGCATTTGGGGAGTGCAGTGTGCAGTGTTAAGAAATATTGTTTGGGGTGAAGGGGGTAAGGAATATTTGACTGAGCGAGGACGAGGAAGAAGGAATAAGAAATATTTTTGTGTGCGAGAAAAATATTGGGAGCTTTTGTTGTGAGGAAGAAGGCCAGGAGGTGACAGTGCCTGGGGAGGAGGTGGGTCATGTGACCAGTGCAATATGCAGAAGTCCCTAAGTCCTCTCTCTACAGGAGGGGAACTTGCCTTGATAACACTCATTTCTCAACTCCTGAAAACTCGTCCGTTCTCGATTTTTTCTTTGACACTCGCTGAATCTGATCGACCTACACGCATAAACGCGTCAAAAACTTGCAGCTATGGATGAGAATGACAAATCCTTGCGCGCCTCCTCCCGTAAAGATGAGTTAGATGCCCTCTTCGAAAGCCTCTCACCTTTCGATATCATTTACCTCAGAAAGAAAATTTCTGAGACCACAATAATTCTGGCTGGTTTAGAGAAGTTGCCCCCAGAGATGATCTGCGAGATCCTGAAGTATCTCAACTTTGGTGACTACCGTGCTTGCCTTGCTGTGAGCAAGAGCTGGAAGGCTAAGTTCGGTATGAAAGATACCATGACCCAAGCTCTTCATACCTTCTTCCCTGGTCTTATTCCTATGAATCCCAATGATCACCCCCAAAAGCTGTTCTCGATTGAACTAGCTAAGCACCTCAAGTGGAGGCACCCTTACGACAGTCGCACCTGGACACCTTGGGACTTGTCTACCACCAACTTTTTCTCTCGACAAACTGCCGCAGTCCACTCTCAGGGTGTTCCCTGGGCATTCCTTTACAACAAGGGAAAGCTGGTATGGCAGCTTTCCACCCAAATAATCATCATAGATGACATCAGAAAGGCACACCGGGAGAGGTTCGCCCCTCTTGCTAGTGCCATGAGAGGCGCGCGATTTCAAGCGGCCGCTATTAGCGACCACTTCCTGATCCTTCTCGAGCTGCTGTCAGGCTTGAACAAAATGTAAGTGTCTTAACATTTCTGTTGAGAGTGGCCACTGACTGTCGTCTTTAGCCATGTTGCCAAGATAGATACCAGAGGTCCCTGGGCTGAGTTTACCCTCCCCGCCGGTCTCGACCACGCGTTTGTAGACCTGAAAAAGATGTTCTTTGTCACCAAAAATGGAAACATCTTCAGCTACAGCTGGCGGGAGTCTCTACAGGAAGTAGACCTGTCTGGAATCGGACACTCCTTTGGGCCACAGCCAGGTTGTTATGGCTTAGCGCAAGTGTTGCCACATCCTCAACATGATGATGTTTTTTTCGCCGTCTGGGCTCTCTCCCACTCTGCTCGTGGTAAGTTCAACGATCGCAAGAATCTCAACAACGACTGACGCCAGTAGACTTGAACCTCTTTACCCTGAAGGTGGTGAAGTTCAAGGACGGAAAGATTGTCGGCACCAAGACCATGGCAATCCGCAACCCCCTGCAACACCCACAGGAGGGCTGCAATGAATTTACCCGGCTTGCGATAACGTTCTCAACCCGCAAGTCTGACGACCACGGCACCTACACTCTGGCCACCTACCGCTTCCAGGGCTTCGACAAGAGAAAGCTCGTGCTCTGTGACTGCTGTGACCCCAAGACCTTGAATGGCGACTGGAACGTCATCACCTTCAACCTCTTCACAGAGTCCTTCGCGCACTACGAATTTCTCTCCGCAGACCCGGACCTCCGGTGGAACGGCGATGCTCGTGCGATGCAGAACCAGAAGAACGTCAAGCGACTGACGGACACCCACTTTTGGAAGGGTGATCTAGTCCTCGCATCATCAATCACATTTGATGAATCGGGACCTCACGAGTACGCTGAGTACTACACAGAGACTCACCTGGAGACTCTCCGGCCCTTAGGCAGACCACTCGCGCCAGTACCCCAATGGAGACCTATGAGACACGCAGACCCTGGGCAGGCGCTGAGAACGAAAGTGTTCCAGGACGACGACTTCGTGATCGTGCCTAGCCTAGGCGGTCTGGCGCTGTACAAGCCAGAGAAGACGGCCCCGAACCCGGGGACCTTGTTCGACCACACCCTGCCATTCCAGGACATGGGGCAAGGAAATCTGCCGCTCAAGTTTCAATTTTGGCAAAACGCCAGATTTATTGAGCTGAAGCACGAGAAGGATCCGGAGGATGAGGATGAGCAAGGGGAAAATGAAGACGGAGATGATGGCGGGGAGGACGGGAATTGAGGAGGAACATGGTAGCGGCGGGCTGCTCCTACCAGCCATCACCGCATTCCCGGTCCAGGCCTTCTCGCATGCCTGGCAGCGTAGATGATGCCCGCCTATACCCGTCACTTCTCCGTCCCGTCAAGCGTCATAATCGTCGCTTCGACTCTCGTGTCGTCGTCTCCACGTTCATTTGCGTTGCCGCGCAAAACCCACACCCAGGTGCCGGAATATTGACCGGCTTCCCTTTCGCCAGCCGCGGCCGCCGCTCCTACCAGCCATAGCCGCATTGTTTCGAGCGTAGGTCTGTCCCGGGAGGAAGAAGAGTTCCTCCAACAGCATCGCCCTGAGGATGTCCTACCCAGGCCCCTACCTGTTCCGACCTTAGCAGTTCCAGCTGCTAGCTTGGATGAGGTCACTCCAGTGCAGTCTCCGGAGAACTGAGTCTGGTAACACAGTACGTTCGCTCCGTCACCAAGCACCTTGCCATCGCATGCTGGGTCATCTCATGGTGGTTTCGATATTTTCCTTTCGTTTATTGGTGGAGACTAGATCGTCGTTTTGTTATTATTGTTGCTGAGCGTTACGTTGATCAGGTGGGGGATATGTTGAAAGGATTATCTTGCTATTGCCCTCAGAGCTTTGACTGGACTACTCATCGAAGGGGCTATCAAAGATCGTGAGGAAGAGGACGGCGATCCTGGCGTTGACGGAAAGGGATGAACAATACCCCTAGATACTTGCTACTGGCGTTTAATAATGTATGACATCTGTATTGAGACTTTATTCCACTGTTTCTTCATCCGTGATTGCTTCATCGCGATGTCTTGTGACATGTCTCAGATCTGAACATGGTAACACCGGAACGATATAGCGCAAAGAAGTTACGCGATCAATTCATCTACGGTACTATCGTCGACCCTGTGTAGCCGCAGTAACTTGTACCCACCACTCATTAATGCCCTCAACATCACACCAGTCCATCTCAATCGGATTCTCAAACCACCACCGTCCATCCTTCCGATCACTCTCATACTTCTTCAAACTGCCCCCATCAAAACGATGGTTCTTCACACCCACAAGAAGAACTGCACTTCCAACACGGGGAGTGAAAGCTTCTGGATCCAAAAAGACTGTGAGGTTTACTTGCTTTGACGTAGAGGGGTCTGCAAGGCGTGCACTTCGCTGTCGGTAGGGTGGAAGACTCGAAGGTTCAATGTCGGAGAGGTAGGAGATTATGGCGAGGACGTTGCAGGACCAGTTTTGGGCGTAGGGCAGGTGGGGGATTTGGCGGAGGGTCGTGAGCTTGAGGGGGGTTTGGGGATTGTGCCAGTCTCGAGGGAGGGCGATTGCTTGGTGGGATGTAGGCGTCTCTTGAGTTATCGCAGTTCTTTTTGGAGTTTGCGGTCTTTGGGGAACCTCAGTCTTTTGTGGTGTATTTGGCTTCTGAAATGCCTGCACCTTTTGTGGCGTTCTTGGTTTCAGTGAAGGTTCTGCCTTTTGCGGTGTCTTCGGTTTCGGTAGTGTCTCTGTCTTTTGGGGCGTTCGTGGCTTCCGCCAAAGCGTTGCCTTGGTTGGTGTCTGCGGTTTCGGAAGTGTCACTGTCTTTCGCGGAGACCCACTTGCTTTTGGCCCAGGTGCCTTTTGGGGTGTCTTGGGTCTGTTGGCATTCATGAGTCTCTCAAAGGCTTCGAATGCTTCTTCAGCGGCTGCTTCATCGACATCATCAAACTCCATGTAATCCTCGAAGGCTGGTTTTGGTGGCCCCTTTAGAGGTTCCGGCTGATTAGGGCCAAGCTTGACCGCCGTCTCAGGCTCTGGTGCTGGTATGGGTTGAGGCGCTGACTTTGCTTGAAGTGCTGGTGCCGGAATCTGTTGGGGTAGCGGCTCATTCTTCTTCTGAAGTGCTCGATACGTTTCGTTCCAACCAACAGTGATAAGGTCTCTCACCAAAAGCATCACCATGCTCTCATCACCAACGTCCTTCCACTTGACATCGAACTTCTCACACCGAACATAAGCTCCCAAGGCGATGTCCCCCGTGGTGACGAAGCGGTGCATATCAGGCGCTATTATGGCCTGAATACAGACATGTCCATCACCAAGAAGAAGTCGAATGACCTGCCATCTTCCCGATCTTGAGACAGAAATGCGATCAACGCCCTCCACAAGGAAGATGCTTCCCGGGACACAGTACTTTGTGCGTAGAATCTCGCTGACAAGTGGTTTGAGTTCGAACGGTTCGCCTAGGAAAGTGTTGGCGGCGGGGTCGAGCTTCAGCGATCTTTCAGGCATGTGTGATGGTCCATCTGTTGTTGGAGATGGTGATGGTGTTGGAGTTGATGAAGATGAGATGAGATGAGATGAGTAATTGGCTTACAAGCGTGAATGAGGTCAGTATGTAGTTATCCACTATTCACTCAAAGCGGGGTTTGTTCACGGAACACTCATCATCCCTCAACACAACTCGAAATGAACAGTCCGTACGCAAAAGAACTCTCCGTCGCTATTGGTGCTTTGCAAAAAGCTGCTCAATTGAGTCAATCAATTGTCTCTGAAAAGGACAAAGGCGCAATCGAGAAGGATGACTTGAGTCCTGTCACAGTTGCCGATTTTGCAGTCCAGGCGCTCCTCACAGCGACGATCAAGAATGCGTTTCCAGAGGACAAAGTTGTGGGAGAGGAAGATGCTTCGGACTTGAGACAGAACTCTGTGTTGATGGAAAGGGTTTGGCAGCTCTTGGAGGGGGTTGCTGGGGATGGGGATACAGTGTCGCTGTGCAAGTTGCCTGAGAGCAGGGAGCAGATGTGTGATCTTATTGATGAGTGCGGCGCTAGTAGCCCGTCTGCCACTGGGAGAACTTGGGTGTTTGATCCAATCGATGGGACGAAGACGTATCTCCTCGGTCAGCTTTATGCTATCAACACGGCTTTGCTTGTGGATGGTGAACAGATTGTTGGGATCGTGGGTGCGCCAAACTTGTCAATTGATGCAAAGGCACCTCTCAAGAACGAGGATATTGATCCCAAGGGCGAGGGCTGTATCTTCTTCGCCGTCAAGGGTCACGGCGCTTACATTCGTCCCCTAAAAACCGATCAACCAAGGCGACTCCCTCTTTACACCAACAACGACATCAGCCTCGTCACCAGCTCAACAGTCAACTCCGCCCTCTTCCGCGTCCACGAAAACGTCGCCTCACGTCTCAACACTGCTTATCCAGGAAACGACCTTCTGCCTTGGGTTCTGCGCTGGGCAGTTCTCGCAATGGGTCTCGGGAACACGACAGTCTGGGTTTACAGACGTCCAGATCGGTATGCCAAGGTTTGGGACCACGCGGGCGCTATGCTGTTGTTCGAAGAGACGGGTGGAAAGATTACGGATGTTTGGGGGAGGAAGATTAACTTGGCAGCGGGAAGGATGATGAGTGCTAACTTTGGGTTTGTTGGTGCGAGGGAGGAACATGAGAGAGTGTTGCAGGTTGTGAAGGAGGCGTACTCGGAGCAGATAAAATTGAGGACTAATATGCATGCCTGATACAAGAATGGTTCTCAATTCCAAGGCGCATCTACGGTTTAGAAGGTCCTTGGGGCCATCGCTCAGAGCGCTGGAGTGTCCGGTGGGTGATGTTTCTGTATGAAGCTTGACCTCGAAGTCTACTTGAGAAAACAGAACACGACATAGATAGCTATGTGTGTAAATTGAACTATCAACCTCGTAGGCAAGTACTGAAGCTTCGTGCGATCCATCAAAGGAAGTAAGCAAGTGGAAAGAATCAGAATATACCGAGTTATATTGATGAATTTGCTTCCTCAAACTTTGCACACCGCAGTGGTTGAGGCACTCGGTTTGCAGCCGTAGGCCTCGGGTAGCAGTGCAGACGACGTGGGAAAGTCTGCTGTCAGACAACAACTCAACTTGCGGTCAAGGATACTTGGATGGACAAAGAATGCTTTTGCCAGGAAGAACCAACTTGTCCTTTCCCCCGGTGCTGAAACGACTGTTGAGGCTGAAACGTTGAGCAGTCAGCTAGTGTTGGCCACGAGGCAGCTTGAACGACAGGATCTTACCGCTGCCCCTGGATTGACTGCTGCATTGCGCTTCCGAAGCTTACTCGAGAACAAATAGTCATGCACTGAGTAGATGCCTTTGAAAGGTGATGTTCAATGCATCTCCCAGCATAATAGGCCGTCCAGTTACACCATTAGTCGGACTCGGCAACTAGATCGGTACAGGTAGTCTTTTCGCTGCGCTGTGGAAGGAAAAAGATCTAAGCGGGCTTGTTGGCGCATATTCAGGGCGAAGACTTCGATAGCTATGATGATATCGTCGATGACTTAAACTTTAGGTAGGGTTGGCAGGTTCGACTTGGAGTTGTCTTTGAGATTTCGATGCGGTAAGGGGAACGTCGGGAAAAGACAAGAGTCTGGCTTCGGAGTTGGAGTCAGAATTCGAGTTTTTGGCTTATTGTTGGGGCATGGATGTAATGTCTGGAGGACTAGTGTAAGAAGTCGGCGTTTGTGATATCTTGGGATAGGGATGAATGCAGGTACTCACTTGGAGATGTCTTTGTAACTGTCCTTTGATCAAGCGTGAACACTTGAAGGTGGATGACAGAACACTCGCTTTTCTGTTGCTCACAATCACACTAAGTCGCTCTTCGAATCAGTCTGCGTTCAGTTCTTCTCACTCGTTCACTAGGGACTGTTGGAGTGTAGAGGAAGAATCGACAGATATTCACGTCAGTGTTCGACGACTTACCTGAACCCCTTTCCCCTGATGTGATGCCTAAGTTGCTCTGAAGTACAGCTATTCAGCATTGCCACAGAAATAATAAGAGAAAAACATGAAAGTGCATGGTCTGTAAAGAAGATTGAGCCGGCACTGACAAGCAGCCGTCAGTCCTTCCACCCAAGTCTCCCGCTGGCGCTGGCGTTGCTGCTTGGGAGCGGGTCAAATACTTGTAGAAATCCAACACTCCCCTCGCTTCTCCTTCTTCCACAAGACTTGCAAAAACTCAAGAACGAAAAATCAACAAAAAGTCTTTTCCGATAACCCATTTTCTTCCCCATACAATTCAAAATCATCTTCGCATCACAAACAAGTAAGTGAACTGCTTGCTTTATTCTTGTCATTCAAATCTGAGACTCTCTTGTCTCTCTGCATTAACGGCAATCCACTCGACTCTGATCCCACGATCTATTTCCTCGAGAAGTCGTTTCCATGTGAGGACCTTCCACTGATCTGTCTGTAGCTCCTCCATAGCATCATGGACTCCCAAACCTTCAGCAGTCTGCCTGGAGATCTCCATCTGGAGATTGGAAAGTTCCTGAAATCATCCGAAATGGAGGGTTTGATCGCCTCCTCCAAGAGCATGCGTAGAATATACGCACCATCATACTTCCACACCGTGGCGTTCCGTGGTACCAGCATGGACCTGGTCATGGACCTGTTTGCATTTAAAAATGCAAACAGAAGCCGGGCAACAACCAGTCACATTGTTGTCCCCGCCATCAAGTAAGCTTGAACGGTCTTGCCCAACATCACAAACCTTTGCTAACCCAAGACTCAGGCACGTCACAATCTCACAGGAGGCCGACACACCCTCCCCCGCTCCACACCTTGCGCTGGTGCTCCCGCGCCTTATCGCCAGCTCCTTGGGTGTCATGAGAAATCTCCAGAGTATCCAACTGGATCTCTGGTGGTTCTCGGACGCCCAGCAAAAGGAGCTGCGTGATAGGTGCGCAGGCCTGCCTGTCTGGATTGGCCTACGGTCAATCCAGATGGAGGACGAAGCCGACACCGAGCTTCTGGCTGTCCTGGTCAGCAAGACTCGTCCGGAGTCCTTCAGCGGACTGCAGTTCGGGGGCCAGCTCGAACTGCAGGCCGCCAGGCAGTGTACACCTTTCCTTCGACGACTGGTGGTGCCGTTCCGACTCCCGGCTACAGCAGATGTTGGTGGGCGGGCGGGCATAGTGTCGAACAAGACAAGCTTGTTGATGCAATTCGGGCGCCTGGAGTGGTTGGTCCTGGCACCAATCCAGGTGAAGCCAGGTGTTGTTGCTGCGATCCGCGAGGATCCCAAGGTATGTTTACTTCTCGTCTCCCTTCGTCTAAGTTAGTCTAAACTTAGACTCAACTGGTCTATATTATGTCTATGACTATTATGTGACTTGTTGATTCAGATTTTTACTAACTTTGGCATAGATATTTCTCAACGTTCTCCTCAAGGAGATTTCGAGGCTACCATACCTCACACGACTGGGGTTGAAGTTCCCGAGGTCAATTCTCGTGGCTCGTCAACCTGGGGTCCCGGGGACTGGTACGGGTCTGTCCGCTGTTGGACATTATGTTCGGCAGTGGAGCAAGCAGATCTTCGCCAAGATCCCTGCCCTACAGCAGGTGGCTTTCATTCACGGGGCCGTTGTGTTGAGGGCAGTAAGGGGGGCGGATGCCACCATTCGTGTCTCTATTGAGCGCGATTTGGACCGGCATGCGTTTCCCTTTGGGACTCTTTACTGAGCTTGCTCAGTACAGCCGTTAGTACCAAGGACAAGGTGCCACTAGTAAGTCTTGATGATACTTTCACGTTGAGAATATTGCTAACGTGTTTGGGTAGATACAGTCAAATGACTGCCAGACCGAAAGGTCTTCGTTTTCTTCCTTCGCCTTTTTCGCCCCCCTTTTGATCAACCTCGAGACACCGCTCACTAAGACACCACGACATTACTCCATCGCGGCTTCCGTGCCATTTACCTCACTACCAGGGCGCTCCTCTCCTCGGAGAGTGGAAGAAGCTCCTTCCACACGCCAGTGACATTCCTTTCCATCTTACCTCCTTCACCTCGAACTTCACCTCAAGACTTGACATCATGATCCTGAAAACACGGAAGATCATCAAGCAAACCTTTCGCTTCCATCATCCCCTCTCTCTTCACCGAGTATTGACCCCTTCCTTTCGCACCTCCCTCCCTCTTTGAGCAAGCCTTGGACGTTAGATAATGCAGAATCGTTCATTATTTCAGAACGAAGAGTCCAAGCGACGGCGGAAATGGCAAAGAATGATTGGCAGCATGTATGGAGCATGGAGTTACGGAATATTTGTTTGTCCCTTTTTGTTTGAGAATTTGATATCTGTCTGAGGAAGAACAGCAGAAACGGCACTCTTCTGTAGAATTGCAAAGAGGCAGAGAGAGAGATGCCCAATAATACACAATATCGTGCACGCATAAGTCTACAAAATTAATATCACTGCTGTCACTTTGTGAATGTTGCAAGGTCATAGAAATCATCAACTGTGTGTTCATCTCAGATGTTCCACCTTCTCAAGATGTCTAAATTCATGTCAAGACAGTAGTTACGTAAAGTCCAAAGAACATTGCCTTTGATCAGTGTGATAGCTCACCACAAGGCTGCTGTAGTAGGGATGCACATCGATCATGCGTTGACACCGACACCTGACTTTCCCAAGAGTCTGGCACACACCAAGGCAGTCTTGTTGCTTACAGCCAAAGAAACCCGCTTGGTTACAAGTGCTGGCCTGACATACCTCGCCAAAACTCGAAGTTTCAGCAACTAAGATTGCCTCTGTCATATTATATTTACCGCTGAAAAAGTCCCCAGGACCTCTAAAGACTAACAATTAGCACATTCACGGTACAGTAGCGAGTGACAGTGGCAACCACTTCCAGTCTTCAGTTTGGCCTGCAGTGCTGCGCTCGGCGGTATCCACTACTGGTGTTTGATATTTCCCACTGTTATGTTGCCCTTCGCAGACTACCTCCTCTCCATCTTTCTAAGATATCCTCTGACTCTCCATCTTCCCAAGATATTTTCTGACTCTTCAACTTCCACAAACAAGCAACCAACACATCTGTTTTTATCACACTCATAGTTCTTCTCGCTCGCATCAAACAGTCCCTCTTTGAGTACACTATCCATCTTCAGTCAACCCTTTCCAGCCGCTGAGGGCACCGAGCACCGATTCTCGGTCCTGATCTCATCTACTCATCACTCTTCACCCCCCCTACCGCTTTTCTTCAGCCAGCCGCTCTTGGAAAATGCCTTCGCTCACCTCTCTCCCTCTGGAGATGTTGGGGGAGGTGGGAAAGCATCTCCAGGTAGAGGACCTGAAGAGCTGTTCGTTAACGTGCAAAGCTCTCGAGGCAGAAACGAGAAAGCAGCTTTTTCGCAAGCTGTCTTTCGTAGGGACTCGGTCAGCGATGGCCGAAGTTCTCATGAAATTCCTCGCGAATGTCAACCAATCTCGTACCCAGGGTATGAGCAGGGCATGCCGGTACGTAGTCCAGAGAACATATCTCGTATGATATTTACTGACTTGTCTTACAGTTCTCTTCAGATCGAGGTCCTGCCGACGGATATCGACCCCTTCCACGAGTGTAGAGATTTGCTGCCTGCGCTGATCTTGTCGGCCAAAAGAAATCTTCCCCGTGTCACTACCTTGTCCCTCGCTCTACATGGACTCTCGAAGCTAGAGATGACCTCCCTTTTCCGAATGGTCAAAGAGACTCCAAGTTGGGACTCGGTGACAATCCTTAAGTCAGACTTGCGCCCCCCTTCCGTTCTATCGAATCTTCTGAGACACTCAATGGTCAACGTGAGAACTATAGACGTTATACCCAGTATGGGCCGTCACGAAGTAGCCTCGATCAAGGAGAGTTGCCCGGATGTTCAAAAACTCCGGGTCAACTTCAAATACCCGTTAAATGATTTCCTTAAGCACCTCAGGGGAGGTTTAAGGGTGAAGATCAATCAGCTGGATAACCTCTCCCAGCTGGTTATTCAAGAGAAGGGGCCGGCAGAGCCATACCCGATCGGCGGGATGCATCATCCCCGGGACATCTCACACCGCCTCTCCCTAATTGCCGACCAGCTGGGAGCAATGACAAACCTGCGACAGATCTCGCTGGAGATCCATCCACGGGTGATGACGTGGATCCTACCAACGAACCGCCTAATTCCTGGACACCAACTGCGCACAGATCTTGACACGTTTGTCATGAGGGCGATAGTGGCGATGGGAACTACACTCCCACACTTGGAGGAGATATGCTTGGTGGAGCGCAGCGCCGAATTCAATGGCATCAACTTGATCCACCGTGGTGTTCGCGACTCTAACGGTGCGATGGCTGTCACGATCGAGGCACCCGGTGATGAAAACGACTTCCCCCTAAACGTCTCACGATAAGGTGTACCAGGTCAACGAGTACAGGCGTGCTCTCTCTCTCCCCTCTTCCTTTGTTTTCCTACACGACGAAGGGCAGATCGGAGGTAAGACAAGTCGATGGTGTGGTCGGAGCGAAGAGTCTAGGAACAAAGACAAGGAAGTGGGCAGTCTTTCCAAGATCGGACTCGTTGGAGGCGAAAGAAGCTCTTTTCTTTTATAAAAAAGAAGAAGAAAAGACTTACCAGACGCAATGTCTCGTCCATGGTTTTTGGCAAGGTTTTGATGTATTTGGTTGGAGTTCAGGTTTTTGCAAGCATGTCGACGTAGAGCTTTAGGCCTACACTTTACTTGATGAATGAATAATAACGATGTATGAGTCTGTAATCTTGATCCCAAAGTTGCAAAGTGAAATATTTTTAAAAACCAGTATGTCTATCTTGTTAAGGTGTTGCTCATGGCTGAATAGAACCCTACACCAACATCTGCCAGAGAACGAGACAAACACTACACGACCAATTGCGGCATATTCAAAGACCAGTTGATAGCCCGGCCCTCGGAACCTGTATCACTAATGTGTTTCGGTAGATGCTTTGACGACGGGATTGTGTGGAAGAGGCAGCGATGTTGGCGAAAGACTGAGGTCATTGATCTCTCAGTGGAAGAGCCAGCCCCTGAGGTTTGTTCAGATCACAGGCTTTCTACGGTGAGGCCAGTACCCAACAAAGCGCTCTCGGACCCCAAGAGCCTCGCCCCCTCTCAATCTTCCCTCCATAATCACGGGCCTACTCCCTTCCCTCCTGAACCTCTCCTCGACACCCTTTTCCTTCCACTGTAAGACATGGTTCTGTACCTTCTCCTGGTTGCCAGTTGTATTACCTGTTCGCCTACCATCTCCGCCTGGCATCCCGTTTCGCGCATTTTTATTCTAATTTTACGCAACATTTACATCTAGACAAGTCCTTTCTATCATCATTTCGTGGTTCCCATGTTTATCACCTCGACCATTTCCGCCCACCCCTGGCTCCTATTCAGTGCGCGTCGCTCTCTCCAGTGCCCGAATGGTACGTTTAACCGGCTCTTGTCTAAAAATAGTCGCTGACCTCGACGGCTGAAATTCAGGAACTCACCGAAAAGTGGTTTACTGGGCGGGAGCTCAAAGTCCTCCGTCATCTCTCGCAGCAATCGCCGCTGAGTGCGGGATGAATTACACTCTACATGTATCCATCTCTGAGTACACCTCACCTCGTTCTAATTCCTTGACCAACATGCTGAGGATCTTCCAGATTCGGGCCTTTGGAACAGCGGCCGAAAGAGATGAAGTCACTCTCTCGTCAGTTATTTGTTCGCTGCATACGATGCACACTGAACTGTCCGCGGAGAGGCTGGTGGTCGAGTCGTGAATGGAGGTGCCGTCACTTGGATGAGGGTGTCGTTTCTCAAGACACAACAAAGTCAAGGCGTGAGGAAGTACGGTTGGCCGGATGAGCGCCAGGGGAAGGGGTTTCAGCACCTTGAGAGAGAGGGCTTCGGCGCTTGACGCGCAAGTGGTCAAGTTTGTAGCAGGAGAGTGAGGCTGAGTATCGGTGGCACTGGGCATGAGACAGGTCTCAAGTGAAAATTGATCCCGTTGGGAGTGTAGGTAGCGCCGCCAAGGTCCATCTCTTACACCGCATAAGTTCGTTGTCAACGGTATCAAAGCCTCCGTGGCTGGTCGGATAATAAAGTTGGGGGGAGCTCATCTCTGGCCCCTTTTTTGCACCGTCTCATCCACAAACGAGTTTGACCTGCGATGGACATCGCCTTGTGCCTCTTTGTCTTATGTCATGAATGTCCTTATGGTCAGAGCCTGGATAACGTGTCTTCAACGTCTGGGATGGTGGTGAGCCGGCATGGGAGAGCGCCTTGCTTTTAGCAAAGAAAGGTATAGCTTTCACTGTTCATGAGGATAGAAGACATTGTTCCTTTGGGGACCGATGGTTCATTTCTTCACTAGAGACCTCCTAAAACTAGGGCACTACTGTAAACAAGAATCATTACCCCGAAAAACCTTTGTTAAGCTAGATGTCCGAAGGCAAGAGGTAACTTATGGCGTCGATCGCCCCGAAAACGACTTGCAAAACAAAAGACGGGAAAGTGTTCGTAGTGCGTATCACACGCGGTATCGGCCGTGGCAGTTTGAAGATTCGTAAGACGGGTTCGTTCAACATTTACATATAGTTGTACGGCCTTGCTGAAAGTCCTCAATGCCGTCCTGGGCAAACCGCCGGTCTGTATGGACGTGTTCCTCGGCTTTTTTGATAGCGAAACGGCGGCACCTATACGTATCAAATCTCCATCAAACCAAGGTCGAAGGTATCCAGTCTGGGAGAGCATGATGTCAGTAATGGCTGTGATATTTCAATGCTAAGTAGCGTACCTTGGTTTAGGGCCGACCATAAACTCCGAGGTGAGCTTTCATCTTGCGGATTTGTTTGTGAAACTTCACCTCCCGAGCTGACACCTTGAACGGTTCGACATGGCTTCCACCTTTGGAGCAGATAATCAAAAACCAGACGGTCATTTCCGCCCACGCCTTGTTCAAATTCTCTCCCGAAAGATTGGGGAGGTAGCGGTAGATGATCTGCTTGCTCTTGGTGAGCCAAGCAACGAAAATCAACCCTAGCCCCGGCTGGTCAAATCGAAACGGGTTGAGAGGCCTAAAGGCCTCAACAACCATCTGCATTATCGTTTCCAAATTTCTCTGGACATTCTCATAGGTTTTGTCATCTTTTCTCTGGTAATCGAACCTCTCAATGAAGGTCGGATATACGAATGTTCGAAAGGCCTGCTCAACAGCTGCGTCTGCGCCGTGACTCCAGGCGTACCTAACCCACACCACATGGTGTAGGTAGCGACGCATCATGGCTGTCAGATGTTAGAATGAGAATGTATAAAAGAGTGTTGTGACTTACAGGGTTCCGCCTCTGTTTGAGATTCCGATGACAGGTCCATCTTCCTTTTCGTCTTCTGAGACAGAGAAATCGCTTCAAAGGGTGATGGATAATGAAGAAGAACAGAAGATGGAGAGAAGATGGAATATGGTGGAGAACTTGAGAGAGAGAAACCGGCACTAAGAAAGTGAGACGTGCATTAGTAACATATCGACAGCGGCACTGGCAACGGACCCGTCACTGCAACTGATGTGGAGGGGTGCTCGGCCGGGCTTGCTCGTGCTACCAGCCACTGAGCCTCCAGCAACCTTGGCAATTTACGGTGGCCTCGCTACCCGTAGGAGACCCGGGGAGGTCTCTTTTGAGCTTGGAAGTACCTAGGTACCTTGTCCTGCTTGAGTTTGGGAAGAAGTCCCATGCTGTGAGGAGCCTCGCGAGCTGTGATGGATGCGTGCTTCCGTAACCCATGCGGTCAAGTCACTCATCTGTGAAAAAGGAGAAGATGGTCTACCTTGGTCACCTTATGCCACTATTCCATACGTTCCATGAGCCGTCTTGATGGAGCATTGCTGGGTGAAATGCCATACACCAGGGTATCATCTTTGACTGTTTTTGAGAACTGTGATGATTGTGTTCAATAGCCCCACCAATCGCTAAGAACTGATTCTCGATCTTCGGTCCTCATCACTTAGTCGCTACATACTTGCTTAGATAAAATTGTGTATAGCGTTCAAGAAATGTCCTCGAAACCATCCCTCACGTCGGCGATCTCTTGCGCGCCTCGACGGTGTCAAGAAACCCCACGTCGCCTTCGAGTCTTGTTCCAGGACTCGACTGCATTCCTCGTGGTTACTTCCGCTTCGCCATTGTCCTCCTTTATCTTTCATCCTACCTTTGATTCGTCTCGCCTTGTCCGTGTCATGACAACACGGAATCGCATCTTTGACCCTTTCGTTTTTCAGGTGGTATTCGTAGTTGCTGTCCGACTACGCCGTTGAACTCACTTGCTTCTCTTCTAATGGTGGCCCGACTATGGCACATATGTCTGAGCGAAGGCTCAGTTGCTTACTGCAAGCGGATTAGTATTTCGTCATGCTTGCAACCATCTCTTCGGGGCACGATGTTTCGGTACCAAAAAAGGGGGCTTACCGCTGAGAGATGTTGACTAACCCTAATCGCTCATGTTCGCGTTTATGCTTCAAAAGTAGACGAGGACCCCATTGAAGTCTTGGGCGGAATTCTTGGCCTGTTTCTTAGCTGCCTTCGGTATTGGACCTTGTCCGAGTTGGAGGTTGAATCGTCGAGTAGAAGGCGGAGACGGAGGGACAGCGCTTTCGGGATCATTCGCATGGTATATATTGAAACCTTCATCGGCTCGTCGGTACGTCCTCATGATGGATACGTGAATGCGGTGCGAGTCCCTAAAGTCGTCAGTTAGTGAAGCCAAAAGGCTCATGGTGGTGCATACATGGCAAGGGCGCAACGCTCCAGCAGCCGTGGTATTTTGAAGAGAAAAGCATCATCTATAACATAGTTTGATGCCCTACATGCATCAAGTTATCTTCTCGGTCAAGTGTTGTGTCGCAGTTGAATGTTGTAAGTTGGGCGGGGTCAGCATCACGCAGATGTACGAGGACTGTTTAGCGATAGAGCCTCGAAATTACATACGAAGTGAGATGAAATTTCCCAGCAGAGCATCTTGAAGATTATTGTAAATGTTCCTACAAAGATATAAGCGTGTTTTCCTCGATTGAAAAAGGCACGATGAATAGTCTCACAGTCTTTAGGGTAGGTTCACGAAAGTCGTGTAATTCTTCTCCACATCAGTTTACAATAGAACCTACAACTGTGGCGAGTCAAAGAAGTTACACGGACTCCTCGAATAACTTACTCAATGAGATTTGCAATAATTCTTTATTTAGATATCTGAAACTGCAAGAACTTAACCTGTTCGATGAACGGAGAGGTTGACAAGAAGACGTGTAGTCCGTGATCCCCTGTTCAGTTGCCACTCTAGAACACATGATTGGGCAGAACAGCCGCGCGCATAACTCACAGGCCCAATCTTCGTTCATACATGTCCCCAGGGGTGTTACAAACACTCTTTTATCGTTTCTACCTTTCATATTGGGTCAGGAAACCTTATCTGTCCCTTTGCAGCATGACTGACACTTCGCCACCTGAGCGCGTAACCTCTCTACATCATCGGATCCCAGACCTTCATCCTCTTCCATGGCCTGGTCTCCAACAGCGAGATAGAATTGTTCGAAACTGATACAACTTCCTCACGAAGCGCCATCAACACCCTGTCGGTAGGCCTCCAATTTGTCTTCCACACTTTGGAAGGCTGTCGGTTAATCGTGTGTGAGCAGTCAATGCTCATCATATGGTCTGACATCCTTCGGCTTAATGATTTATACTTTCGGAAACCCTGGCAGACCAGAGGGCTGACTGAATGCTCAGAAGAGGCTCAATAACTCATCAGGAGGGGGTTTCCGGTGGCGAAGCAGACGCCTTCGTTGTTTGAGAGCCGACTCAAGGATGCGCGATGTCGCTGGCGCTACTCGATCGGCCGGTGTACATGTGCATGAACGATTTGTGACGTTCCAAGATGCTCTTGCACTGGACATCGAATAAAACGCGAAGGAGGGATTGTGTAGCCCTGTAGCAGGGCCGTTGAACTTGAGCCATTGAGCGACCTCATCTGATGCCACAGCCGCTCAGGCTCTTTTGTCCTTGGCCACGGCGAAGTGGACGAAAGGATAACGGTAGAGGTAGGATTGATCGCCGCCCTGATGGTGCGGGATACTGGGTACGACTTGACGTGGGAACACTGTGAAGACCAAGGACGTTAGTGTAAGATTCCTGTCGAGATTGATGGTATTGCCATTTTCATGATTATCAAGGATGGTTGGGGGACTGATATACTGAGCGTGCTAGTTGATCCTTGCGAAAGTGGACGGATTGCGAAGGCGTTATGTCTCAGGACGAGAGACTGCCATTCCTGGAGATCAGTCACCTTCTCACTAGGCTGTGCGCTCTTGGTACTTTTGCTGACCTGCGCTATTCTCTCAATAACAGTTCTCAGTTGAATGGATCTTGATCTCCGTAAGTGACTCCGATGCCCTGGGGAGGGCGGCTGTTGGGGAGTGTGCTGCTGTCAGATTAGCGCAAGTTGGGGCACGCGATGGGGTGTGGCACACTGCGATCGTGGACTGCAGCGTCGACAATGTCTCGGTTCTTTCAGGAAGTCGTCGTTTATGGGTCACAATGTCGAGTTCTCGTCGTGTGTCCACGTTGGAATGATACGCCGAGAGTACCCCTTTCGAGCAAAGGGGAGGAGGGGGAAGATGGCCAAGCACGGGACTCAACTTCTCTCGATGATCTTCAAGACATCTCCTATGTCTCAATCCACCATTCGTCAGTGTAGCAACCCATCGAAGGGGTAATAAGCGTTGAGGCCTTGGACGCCTTTCAGATGAGCTTACCGTCGATGATCCGATCCTGCTTGTAGCGCTTAAGCAATCTTTCTTGAGCTATCGTAACTGGGGGCTCTTAACGGAATGACGGTATGTAAGCGCTTCTCATTGGAACGTTGAAGCTGTTGCTATGGATGCTGGCCAGCGCGCGGCCTCGTGAAGCTCAGCAACTGCCTTCTGCCTCCATGAAACTGCGCGATATCGAGGCCCGAAGCCTGAAGCTGTACAGAGTATATATATAGGGGTGTCGGAGGGTCAAGTTCTAAGGTGTTTCTTCCGGTTTGCTTGTGCCCCTGAGGCGATAGCCCATTTCAGACAGGTTACCAAGAGGTACCGGAGACACCTTGTTGAGTGATTTGTGGTCGCTGGATTTACCATAGAATTTACCATAGATGCTCGTTGGATTGCGCCTCGTCTGTAGAGTAACAGCTCAGATGATATTGAAGGGGGGGGAGAGTAGTGCGTTGCCAAATGACGCTTCAGAGTCGGCTTAGTCGTGTTGGCTAGGCTCGCTATATTACTCGTCGCTGGATTCATGATCTGTCAAGAGCTATCAGAGGTGCAAGGGGTTCATCAGCGTGGAGCTGACGTACCTTTGACAGCGTTTTCGATTTCTCGTCGTTTGAGCCGCGAGTTGTGATGACGGTAACCTCCTATTCCTCCCCAAAAAGAGGAGACGTAGCGGTCACTCCTCGAGACTTCTGTGTCAAGACAGATGAGAGCCTTTTGATACCGTCACCCCTGAAGATCGTGAAACAGACCATGTCCGAGTGAAGCTTGGGATCTTGGTCGCCTTTGACCGGATGGCCATCATCTTGGGCATTCTGAGTGTGCTGGCTCATCTCTGCCGTGGGCAAGTTGGCTTCCTCTCGTTTCTTAATTCTGCGCTAGGTAGGACTGAGATCGTCACATCGTAATTGGCTGGATATGTTGTTCAAAGGTAGCGACGGAAGTGGTCGAGTCGAGTGTTCCTGTGCACCGAAGGTCAATGAGAGTGTGTTTTGAACATGACGAAGAGCCGTTCACTTACCTCTTTCCGAGAGTTTCCAATGATCAGGCTCTGACGTCAAATTTGTGTATTCTGAGAAGCCCTCCTTCAAGCGCTGTATCATGCTCTATGGCGACCCTTTGTTGATACTCGGTAAAGCCCCTTAGCGAAGTGACGGCTCGTAAAGGCTCCTAGGCGGCAGAGGCACAGTGAGTTGACACAGATTCCAAGCTCAAGTTCCGACCAAAGGAGCCAAATTCGACTCGAAGGCTTTGAGTGACACTGAAAATTTACTTAGGGTTGAGATATTCGCCGTCAAACGAGACTGTGTGCTGAAGTCGGATGTGCCCCTTTTTTGCTGATGTCTCCAAATTCTTGAGACGAAAAGGCGTTTGAGCAGCGGAAAGGTCTGTTGGTCCGAACCTCAAAGGTCTAGCGCTTGGATCGAGTTCAGGCTGTCTTCGCAGGGCGGGCTGTCAGTGGAAGTGGGGTGTTGGTGGAAGACCCTCAGATCCCAGCGCTATTGCAGATGCACTGAGGGAAATTGACGAGCAGAAGCAGTCAAGAAAGAAGGGCTCTGATCACTGTGCACCGCAACACGATGACCCCGCCAGGTATGTTCAACACATTGCCTCCCGTCCCAGGTTCTTGCTACGCCTGCAATCCTTTTGCAAGAACAAGTGCATACCTTACCTGTTCATCGGCAGTACCAATTTCTGGAGCATCAACATTTGATACGCAGTTAATTACTTCATTTTATAATGCTACTTCTACAAATTTGGGACCAAAGCTGCTTCTGATCTCCATCAATGAACCTACAGTGGGTATTGGTGTACCTGTGTAAGTGCTGCGCGCAATGCTGGAGTCAAGAAACTTGATGAAACGTTCGCCTTCTGCCGGTCCTCCTGGGAGCAAAACAGCTTCATGACCGCTCAAGGTACTTGTGTGTTACTTCAAGACAAAGATATCGTTCAGAGACCGCGCACTTCCGCATCCAAGGGTCGGCATCCACCACCATCTGGTGCAGGCCGACACCTTGTCCCTCTCTCCAAGTCCAAGACTCCTCATGATACAAAGTCTCTCCAGCATTAATGGCAGCTTGGTACTCGCAAGCGTTTGGAAGCTGTCACGTATGAGATTGATGTAAGTTGCAGAAATGTCGCTTCTGATTGGGGAGCCCCTGAATTCAGGTCAGGATCAGATACCGTTGTCGACAAAGCCACATCAGTGACAGGGACTCTTACAGCTTTAATTTAATGTCAGCAGAAGCTGCGAGTGAAGTGATTGACAAGGAAGCCTCTACTTCCAAGTGTTCAATGGAGTCGCGGGCTGAGGCTGTGTTCAGCATGACTAGACTGAGCAGCACCCAAATAACACTGGGTCAATTCGAGGCAAGATAGAATGTCCTGCGCGCTTTCTGATGATATGGTGGTGATTGTGATCAGATAGTCTGATGCAATATGCGTTGTAATGTCGAAGCTGGTCAAGGTTGGAGGACGATGTAAAATGGGTAGAGACTGCCCTTGTTTCAGCGATGAAATGATATGTTGCGAACTTGTATGATGGGCGATTGGAGGTGATTTATGATGATTATATGGTATTTTGCTGCTGTCATCGCCACTATTGCTTATCCCTGGGTTGTAGCTAACATCTTGGAGAAGCTCACGACAATTGGCAATAAGATTTATACTTCGATGGAGTTACTGCACTTTGTCTTTCGGTGTCTACACTCATGCTTAAAGAAAACCTAGCCTGACGTGGGATGCGCAAAGGTCGGCAATGCGGAATGCTGGTTGTTCGTCAAAAGGGGTACCTCGGTCAAGGTGAATTGGACAAGGGGCTAACGAGAGGACATAACACTGACTCTCGAATTACAGCTCTAGCACTCTCTGAGGGGCATTTTACTTGACTGCAAAGGCTCAGTGTGTGAAAGTGGGGGCGGTACCATTCTGCTTGTGGTCTGAATCACGGAGTGTCCCTTGGTTCAGGGCAGTGTCAGAACGCGAACACGGACCTTGAGCAGAGACGGGCGTTTCTACCCAACGGCCTTGGCCACCTCACACATGCACAGAGGAACCTAGTGCTGCAATTTGAGAGGCAACAAAAGGCTTCCTCACCCCATTGACGACGAGTGCATCCACGAATCCTCAAGTGTCAACCGACCAGTAAATTACATTAGATAGGAGAATAGCCAACTGCACTTATTGTCCAAAGCTCACAATCCCGTGATGCACCTTTGCATGCCGGAACAATAGAATGTTACAGCACTACAAGACATGCTGGGGAGCTCCGTTCAGGGCATCAGCTGTCTGCAGGTGACTAGATAGGTGCCGTAGTTCTCTCCAGGGGCCAGACAACGTACTAACGACCACTGAAGCTCCTTTCTGGTGACACAAGGAGCTCCCGCTCAAGTGAATGCAAAGCGCTATGCCATTGTTGCCAGTGGCAGAGACGCATGGCGGCCAGTGGAAGAGGGCAGAAGCCCTCATGCAGGTCGGTTGCTGGGGCTATATATTTCTCCCCTCCCTCTTCTCCTCCATCTCTTCTTTTCTTCCTCTCTCATCCTCAATCATTTTTATCCCCTCTCCTCCAATATCCTTATCACACATCAAATATAATTATCCTCATCAACTATATATATAGGTATATATATATGCCAACGGCGTCTGGCTCCGGGTCCTGCGCGGCCTCAACCTACCGACAGTGAGTCACTGCATTTCCTTTCTCTACTCGCAAAAGCATCTCCTGCTTCTCTTCATTCTTCTCCCCAAATCCCCTCCTCTCTTCCTTTGCCACAAAACATGTGCTGCTTCGTGCTTCACTTCACTCAGTGATTCACACTTCCTCTCCGACGCGCGAGCACACATACTCACCACTCATCTAGGGTCCCGGGCCAGCCACTTGAAGTGACTGCCCGTCCTTCTTGCGGTCGCTGGCACCGTAGAGGGAACATCAGTTCTCTCTATGGTGCCGGCGAACGTCGATTGCGGCGGGCCCCGTCTTGGGTCAAGCTGCTCTGGGGGAGGACTGCCTTGTGCAGAAATTTCGGAACTCCTCTGTCATGCTCGAGGCAGAGCATTAGCGCCCTAAGGTTAGTTGCCGATGACTTACTACTGACCCTTACCAACTAACAGATATAGCTCTTCTACACTATCCACAGCGAGGACCCTAACCTCGTGGGTCAAGAGGAGCCTTTCCCCGGCCCGGACAACCAGTCCAAAATGAAGCGCTCGGTGGAGAACGCTGAGCAGGTTGGTATGCAGCTCCCCAAGATCAATCACAATGACAAGACACTGACACTCCTTGATTCAGGGCTGTTCACCCCCACTGCTGGCCAGTACTTCAGGGACGAGCAACGCCGTCGCCACTCTCAGTACGACCGCGGATGGCGGCGGCCTGTCTTGCTCGGGAAAGCAGTTCGATACCAAGCATCCTCCTTCCAGCCAAGTGTTCAGCTGTACAAGGGGAAGAATGCACTAGTCTTCTACCCGGAGGGCAGCCCTACTGTAGCTGGCGCTCTGAGCCAGGACATGGACATTTCCCAAGAGCGGCAAAATCTCAGAACTTCCACAACCTAGCCAATGTAAGTACCTACTTCCCTTCCCTCCTTCAATCAGTTCTGACCTCCCCGCGACAGATCATGCTGCGCGACAACTCTTCGAACCTCCGAACCACCTTTCTCATCATCTTCCCCAACACACTGGGTGACCTTTCTTCCCCGACACACTGGGTGACTCTTCTTCCCCGATATACTGGGTGACTGGCCGCCCCAAGAGGGCCGCTCTGAAGAACCACCGCGGTTCCGAAGACTCGACAACATCGTCGACCTTGGCGAGCTCATCGCCGGGCGTGATGTGCGAACAACAGTAAGTCCCTGCCACCCTGTCTTCCATCACAGTCAGGACTGACCCCTTCACAGATCATGCTTCAGAGCATTCCCAAACAAGGACGGTCAACCTCCTTCGGCGCAGATTGTTGGCGTCTCTCTTTCGGGAGGCCCGATTGTCTGTTTCGACTCAGGTTGGCCGGAATTGTTTGGTGACTTTGTTGTGAGCCGCTTCGATCCCCGTCGCAAGGCGGGTGAGTGACGGCCCTGAATCTCGGGGCCTGAACAAGAAGTGGCTGCGGTGTCATGGTCGCTGTAAGTTCTCATCTCTCGTTCCTCATCTCACTTCATTCTAACATGACATGGCAAGGCTAGACGCAGTGTCTACGGAGCTGAGATGCTCCCTCGCACCACGGACTTTGGCGTCACCCCAGAGGAGGCTAAGGCTCTCCATCAGAAGCAGAAAGCTTCCCAGAACGCTGCTGGCATCTGGGATGGCAGCGCTCCCAAGAACTAAGTTCTGTCTGCTGGTTTAAGCTCTCAGCCACAAGTCTCAACTGCAAACAACACATCTACACTTGGCTCACCACCTCAACAATTGTTGGCCTCGGCAACTACAAAAGCTCCCTCAGCTTCTCAAAGAGTACCAGGAAGCCTGTGATGATATCAAAGTCATCCTCACTTCCTGTCTCATCATCAACATCCTTACCTCGTACCCTCAACATCTTTACCCTCCCTCACCAAGACCTTGACTGGACTATCTTCACTTCATTGCTCGACCAGACCGCAGCATTGAAGCCCCACGGGCTGTGTCCTCTCCACACTCTATATATACACACTGCTCGACCGATCGCAGCATTGAAGCCCCATGGGGCCTGCCCTCGGCAGCAGCACAGCCATTCGCTGGTCATCACCGACCCAACTACTATTTCGCCGGTTAGTGCCTTGACTATGGGAGAGCAGACAGTATCCCGTATTTTCCACTGTGACTTGCCGACTGTGACTTGCCGCAATTGTGAGAAGCAAGGACATTTCAGCAGGGGAAACTCGAGAAGCCAACATTAGTTCGGCTCTCTGTCCCAGCTTAAACAATACGCACCTCATCATCATCACTACCAATTGGTAAGTTGTCCTCACCCTCTCTCCGACATCGACCTTGTGCTCATATCTCCAGTCTTGCTCTTGTGATCATGGTCAACAACCCATACCATTTGAATGCCCAACGGATGAGCGAGCATCAGCTCCGCTCTCTATCCAAGTCTGGACCAGATCGCCGGGGACCCTAAGCAACTGGTAAGTTGTCTTCATCCTTCTCATTGACATCGGCTCATCACTAACTTGTCACTCAGTATTCCTTCCGGTCATTACTTGGAGCATGCCTTCTCCCTCCCACCCACCTCGAAAACATTATGAGCTCTCAGCCACAAGTCTCAACTGCAAACAACACATCTACCTCTTCGATCGACTCTCACACTATTCCTGTCTGATCGGACAATGCTTGACTTCGCAAACCTCTTCATCAATTCTTATTGGTGTTGGACAGTTCGGATGGTCAGCGCACATAGCTAGCAAACAAATTTAATTAGAACATACTTCTCCCACCGCAAGACTTGTAATCTCTATATTGTGACTGCCACTACCCTCTTCACCCACTCTCACAATTGAGCATCTCTCTCCACACCACCTCGTTCGATGGACAGGCTAAGACTGGCCCCCCGCCCTGCGCAACGAGGAGAAGCAAATGCTGCCAAAACTACTCACCGCCCGAGCGATGAAAAGACGAGCTCGCTGTAACATGTCACCCTGCGTGAGATCAACCTTTGCCCATGCATGCAAGAGAAGTACCATCGGCGATGTCGCCACACTCTTGGGCAAACCAGGCTAACCCAATTTCCCATACTATCAACGCGAAGCTCCCAACCACAAACCCGTCCCCCTCTCTCCTTATAATGCCTCCGACAGTCGCTGTACATCACGACTCTTCGATATCTCTCCAGCAATCGTTCCGCAAAGTCACTGTGCGTTCCAAGCCGCCAAAAGCGACACAAGGTTTTGCAGAGCCCCGGAACTACCTCTGGGCGGCTTCGGTCTGCGACATCTCCAACGAACAAGTGATCAGTTCAGTTGTCTCTCATGTGGGGAGGTGTGAGCCTCGAAAACCAGAGATTTGAGCATGTCCTTCCCGAAGTTACCAGGCCTCGTTTCTACTCTGGGGGCACTCGCTGACAGGCATAGTTGTTCAGCGATCTGTCGACACTGGAGCTGGTCAAAGACATTGCAGACTCTGCGTCAGTCTTACTTGGATGGAGCAAGCACTTCACGATCACATCCCGACTGACTTTCCTGGGCCGATCTTCCACCCCGGAACGCTTGGGAAGACTAAGAGTCTATTCCATCGTGAGTTCGATGTCCATTTTTGGTCGGCCTTTCTTCTGCCGTGCTGCTTACAGATTCGTCCTGCCCGAGAGCCGAAGCTCAGTCGCCCGCCCCAGCTTGGGACTACATACAACAGCATGTGAGCGCCCATCGCATCACACGGTCCGGACAATGTTAGACCACCGAGAAGCATTCCATCAATATTACAAAGACGAAAGAAGTACAACCGCATGCCCTGAAGCGTCTATTTATTCCAGGACTCCCTTACGGAAAGCCGCAAGATCTACAGACACCGTCGAGCAACAACAGACTTGAACGTCAGCGCTCAAGACAGCACATACTCAACGTGGTTCAAGCTACAATTGGGGCCTCCTCATTTGATCCTAAGTGATCAAAGACTTAGGTAACCTAGTATGAGTTTAGGATATCTTATGCTAAGTTTATTTTGATGAGCTACTCTAAGGTCTGATATTTTGTTGCCTCTCAAGACCAATTTGTGTGTGGTGGTCGCGATCGCTCACGTCAGGAACTGAGCCATCAATCTCTCATTACTCTTACTGTCGAGATACTGCAAGGAGTTCTCTTTGGGTGGAGGATGTTTAGAAAGAAGGGACAAAGCTTGGGCAGTACGAGCAGACCATGGCTGACAAGGTGGAGTGGGCTCTTTGTGTCTGTTCACAATTCCATCAACATTCGGCCAGTCAAGGTCTGTTCTATCCCAATGTCTGTCTTCCATGTCCTTCGCCATCAGTCATAAGCATTCGTTGTTCGCTGTGAGTCTTTTCACCAGGACCCGAGGATAAGTTGCATCTGGTCTCTCCCCTGAAGGACCCAACTGCGACATTGTTCCTACCATTAACTGAAGGGTGGTCCAAATATCACAGGGGAGGCTCTGCTTGAGGTTCACCAGTACATACAAGTCATGTTCATTAAAATAAAGTGTTCAATCTAAGCTAACAAATTGGTATCAAACAAGTCTATAAACAAAAGAAAAGAAAATAGCGATAAAGCCAGATATCAAAAGCCCATAACATCAAAAGATCGTCCATCATATAGTCCCTCTTCCATACTGTACATCCATCCCACAGCCCCTTAATGGCTCTTGTGGCCATTAGTCTTAGCACCCTCCTGTCCAACAGCGTTAACACCAGCATTCAACTTCCCAAACTGCCACTCCGGCAAAGTAATACCCGTCTGCTCGTTAATGGTGCTCATCAGCGGCGGCAGCATCTGGTACACATTGCGCATCGTCTCAGTAGCATCGCCACCGCCCTGGCCAGCACCACTCTGACTTCCAGTGTTCCACACGCTGATCTTGGGCTCGAGGCCGCGAATGGCTGTGGCGTTGGCCTTGGCCAGCTCGACGTACGTGCCCTTCTCGATCATCATGTACTGCAGCAGGCCCGCGGGACCGCCAAAGGCTTGAGACAGCTTGCCGTAGGCGTCGGCCATTGCGGAGATACCCTCTGCCTCGCGGAGCTTGCTGACGAGCTCGGCCTCGGCGCGCTGCTGGGCGGCGAAGTTGTAGGCTTCGGCGTCGTTGCGGGTCTGGTAGGCTTGGGCGTCTGTGTTCCTTGTGATCTTGGCGTATGTAGCTGCTGCATCGGCATCGGCAAAGAGCTTGGTCTGGTAAGCTGCAGCGTCGGCCTTGCGCTGACTAGCCTCCTGACGAGCGCGCGCATCGGCCTCGACTTCATACGCAGCAGCATCAGCAGCCTGCTGCTTACTCTCCCTCGCAATAGTAGCCTTTACGACATCCGTGGCACGAAGACGCTCCATCTCAGCAGCAGCGCGCTTGATCTCAACCTCCTTCTTGAGATCCTCATCCTTGGACTCGAGGGTACGCTGGGCTGTGACGCGGGCGATATCGACATCACGGGTGAGGCCTGTGCGCTTGGTATCGAGTTGTGCTTCTGCTTGGGCGCGCTCGATATCACGAACTGTCTTCTGCACGGCGGTCTCGGCGTTGATCTTTGCGATCTCACGCTCTTGCTCACCCTTGCGTTGGGCTTCTCCGACGTTACCACGGAGCTGAGCCTCTGCGACGTCGATTCTGGCCTGGTTGGTAGCGCCCTCGTGGGCTTTACGGGAGAGCGAGGCAAAGTAGACCGAGTTGGGGGCATCCTTCAGCTCTTTGACCTGTGGAATGTGAGCCATCGTATCATTAGATGGGAGACAAGAGACGTACGTTGGCGTTGAAGATGAGCAGACCAAACTGCGACAGCTCGTTCTGGATGTTTCGGAAGATTCTCTTCTTAAAGACCTCTCGCTCAGTGAAGATCTCCTCCATAGTCATGCTAGACACGAGCACTCGAGTTTCACCCTCGATGATACCCTTGACGATATTGGCAACATGCTGGCTCTGGGTGAGGTTCTCCTTCTCCTCAGAATTCGCCAATAGCATAGCATACTTCATCAAAGCGTCCCCTCGATCCTCGCGCTCAAGACCATCGGCTTCACTGTCGGCATCAGAGCGATTGGCCCCGCGCTGGTTGACATCGGGACCCACAGTGAAGACGACGGGGAGAGAGAACTGCAGCTTCTCCTTTGTCATGGCCTGAAGATCCATGGCATAGTCGTGAGGGCGGATGCTGTGGGGAGTTAGTGAGTGTTGACCAGTTGGAGAAAGGGGGAGGAATACCTGAAGCGTGTGCATCGTTGGAGAGGCCAGACCCAGGTAGCTTTTGTGATCTTGACGGTCTTGATGCCCATGCCAGTGATGGCAAGGTACTCATCAGGGGCAGAGATTCTGTAAGACATCTTGGGTGGTGTTTAAGGTAGAAGAGAGTGGAAGTGTAGTTGGGTATCGAACTGGTGTTGTGTGACCAGGTGTAAGTAGTAGTTATTAGCAACGAGTGTTGTATATCTCTAGAACCAATGTTGCCAGAGAATTATTTATATAGTATGATCAGAAAAGTATGTCTCACAAAGCGGACAACCACTTCCTTATATGCTTCGATACAGGAACACAAAACATGCAAGTCTCAAAGCTTACGAGGGGTCACTTCATGATGAAAGTGCCTCGCGCTCAAAGCTTCAGGATGTGGTGGCGGAGTCTGGAGTACCCCCTGTCAAATCCCATCTTCTGGAAGAATTCCATGTCCACAACGGGCATGCAATGCGGTCTCGTGATCAGATCGA